CAGTGTCTGTCTCACTGGAAAGGAGACTCGGGCCTGCAGAAATCAGCAACGCGCGAAAGGTTGCATATATCGCATCATTCCTAGACCCAAGGCACAAGCACCTGAGATTTGCAACAGATGATGTTAGAGGCGCTGTGCAGGCCGAAGTCAGAGACCACCTGTCCAGCATTGATAACGCTGGAGACACCGAAGGCGCAGAGGAATCGGGAGAAAGGTCTACTGAACCACCAGCGGCTAAAAATCCACGAAATGACGCCCTCTCTGCTGCAGCGATTGCGGTCTTGTTTGGCGAGGATAACATCGAGCAGTCAGCTACAGCCACAACCGAACTCTTGCAATACTGCCAAGACATATGTCCACCAATGAACGCTGACCCCATGACATGGTGGAAGGCCAACGAGAAGAAATATCCCCGCCTGGCAAAGTTAGCAACCTCCTACTTGAGTGTGCCTGCGACTTCTGTGCCATCCGAGCGGGTGTTTTCCGCGGCTGGACTAATTGTTAGGGTTAGGGTTAGGGTTAGGTTAGGCTGCGCTCGCATCTGCTCCCAGAACATGTTGACATGCTAATTTTTTTTAACAAGAATATGATATATGCCTAAGCGTTAGACTATGAATAGTAGTTACATTGATTAAAACTAATTTGTTTAAAAAGTAGGCTATTGCCGGTAACAAGGCAGGTTGGCATAACATCATTATGACATGTATCCTTACGCATGTAGGCCTATTTTATTTTTTGATCTAACATCTAACGAGCATCTGGTTTGGCGATGCAGAAACGGACTGTCTTGCTGGTTTTTTTGTTCTTCCAATTAGCCTACTATGTTAAAAAAACGACAAGAACATGTTCCTTGTTTAATTAATAAACAGTTTGCTTGATGACAACCCGCTAAAGATGAAATTGGCCTCCCTTTCTGTCATTGTGAGTGCGTTTTTTTCTTTTCTTTTTTTTCCGAACGATAATCGACTTTTGCTCCTTGATTTTCGAATGGCATTTTTGGCTGAAATTCACATCCCTAGTGCAGTGTCATAACTACATCTCTGACGTTTATAACAAACCAAACCGTTTGAAAATCGGTAGAAAATTGAGCAAGTTATGGTTATTTAAAAAGTACATGCACCATTAAAACACAATATTACGAGTGAGCGAGCTGCCTGTGACAAGATGGCCACCAGGTGCGGACGTCGACCCTTCATTAGCCAGCAGCGTGGACGAGACATCTAGCCTTTATAATGTATATCTATGGCCGATACCATATGTATTGCGATTTTTTTTAAAGGAATTTCGATTTGATAGTGATTTTTTTTAACACTGGACCATGGGGAAATTTTAAAGGGCACCTATTATGGCATTTAAAATGTTCCTAATATTGTTTTGGGAGTCCCCAACAACAGTTTTACATGCATGCAATGACAAAAAAACACTTTTGTTGTCTTATAATATGCATTTATGTTTACCGGATTTGCTCACCGACTCCCAAATGATTCGTTCAACGACTCATTTTTACAAACCCCTCCTTTGCGTGACGCTAATCTGCGGTGATTGGTCAGATGACCCAATCAGTTATTGTTTGCGTTAGCCAGCCCAACGCATAAACATATTGATAAAGCACTGCAGTACTACAAGGTATTGCTCTATTCTTTATGACAACTCCAATAACAACGACATACCTTTCACATATTTAAAAAAAAATTGACATTGGAGACCTAGAAGCTGAGCGTTACTTACACAACACACACAAATACTTATTGAGCATGCTACAAAACACATAAAAGCAACAATTATTAATAATACTTACAGGTTGTTATTCGGAGGAGGAAGCTGATCCAAATAAAATTGGTACTGAATCTTCCTTCAGTATCAACCGGCTCGCGAATCCACACTTGAAAGCATTTATGTTTGTAAAGCAATCGTCATTAAAATGACGCGAACACAGCACAAGGTTCGGCCTATCCTTGTGTGGTATAGTTGTATATATGAACTGTAGCCACTTAGTCTTCAAATGCTCCTCCCTGGGCAGTGAAAAAAGGTCGCTTTTGATTCGCACTTCAGAACACAGCGTCTTGTTGTCGACATGATGTTTTCAAGTTTACCCTGGTGTCTGCGCGCATCAATGAGTGGGCGTATCTTAATTAAATAACTTGTCAAGTTGACTCATCTAGATCATAGATATCCATAATAAAGCCTAGATGTCTTATGGCAGAGTCTCTATCATCATCCCTGGCGGCCCTCTTGTCACAGGCAAGCTTTTTGGCGGGCTCTGTGGTACCTGATGTAAGATGAGTGATCAGCATGAACACAAATACTCTTATCTCGTTGAAATCTTGATGGATTTACAAACGGTTTGGTTTCTTACAAACATTATTAACGTGGCTATAATTATGGATGATTATTTATTCATACACTTATTATTCATAAGTATACAGTGTCATAATTACATCTCTGAAGTTTATAACAAACCGTTTGAAAATCGGTAGAAAATTTAGCAAGTTATGGTTATTTAAAAAGTACATGCACTATTAAAACACAATGTTAGGAGTGAGCGAGCTGCCTGTGACAAGATGGCCGCCAGGCAAGGGGGTAATCCATCGACCGGAAGTTGAAGCCGGCCGGGTGCCGCCATGTTGTAGCAGAACTTCACTTGCGTTAGCATTCCCATTGACTCCCATTCATTTTGGCGTCACTTTGACAGCGAATAACTTTACATCTGAGGCGTTTAAAGACTCCATTTGTCCATTATTTATTTCTAAAGAAAGACGACAATGTATAAAGGGCTCCATTACCTTCTATGTTACATTATGGCCCCGTAGAAACAGATTTAGTAAAAATAGGCTAACGATTGCGTCATAACCACTCGACTCTCTGTCGCGCTGTACAGAAATTACCGTACAGACAGGAGGAGAAGCTCGCAGGCAATCGGGGCGACGTCCCGTCAAGGGAGAAGCCCATAGATAATGAGTTCATAAAAGCAACGGAATACTTACTCCTGCTCACTCACGCCAAATAACTCTTTGCTCAAGTTCCCCGTCTCTGCCAGATTAACGTTGGCAGTTTTCACGCACCGCTACTAGAAGATTAACGTCTGTCAGACAGGTTGCTCACGTCATCAAGCTTAGTTTGAGTCGGTTTGAGTCTGCGCGTCAGGAACGGAAGTTCTCAAAAATCGCTAAAAGTGGGCTTCAACTGTCTCAACTGAGTTCCAATGAGATCGCTCTGTCCATTTCTTTTACTGTCTATGGTGCGGACGTCGACATCTAGCCTTTATTATGGATATCTATGATCTAGATAGACGATTCATATCAGCGACTCAGAGTCGACTCTTACTTTTGAGAGACAATAACTTTGTATACGGTGAACTTTCATATTTAAAACTTTGCAGGATGTTTTCGTTCACTTAGATCTATGTTACACACTACATGAAAGGTAATTTTCAAAATTCCATAATAGGTGCCCTTTAAATCATACAATAGGCCTACAGACTGTTCATGATGTATAAGATGAGTCATATTAAAAAAACAATTCATCTTTCTGACTATTATTCATTCAGAAGCATCATACATTCTCTTTAATAAATGATTCAATAAAAATTAAATGTTTTAAGTCACTTGTCGCCACCTAGTGTCGAAACAATGTAATCGATAAATGGGTTATTTTAAACACGAAGTTTCTATCAAAGGCTAATTTACTCTATTTTTTTTTTAGCACTATACGGTACATCAGTGTTTATATTTTAACTTTAAACTTTTATCCCAGTACTTAGATGATAATTTGAACTATTGTATCACAGAAATAATGATACTGTGAGGTTGAAATTGAAAATACCTTTGAAGCTGTTTCATGACTCTCTCTGGGTCAGCAGCAGCGCCAACACAGATTTGAATGTTGCGATATGATTTTGTCAAAGATTTAATAGACTGACAAATTGGAATAAGATCGCGTGGGTGTTTGAATCGAGATCGCAGTCTTTTATGGTGTGTTCACACCGAACGCGAATTTAATTATTTGCGCGAGTAGATTACTTACAAAGTCAATGCAAAGACGCGAATAGACGCATCATTCGCGCCGGGGGTTGCGAATGACGCCAATTGGGCGACGCGTTTGACGTGAATGTCTTCCGCGCAAGTTGAAAAATTTAAACTCGAGCAAATGTTCAAGCGTCTAACTAGACGCGCGATAGACGCGTATTTGACGCTCTATTCGCGTTCGGTGTGAACTCACCATTAGAGATTAATCGTGCAGCTCCGGGCGGCGATATTTTTTTTCACAGGATGGTAGGGGAAGACTCATGAATATTCATTAGGGAACTCATCCCTGATTGGTCTGATGACCTACCCCCTAACCCCGCCCCTAAACCTACCCGTCACTGGGGGTCTGATGACCTACCCCTAACCCCGCCCCTAAACCTACCAGTCACTGGGGTTAAGACCAATCAGGGATGAGTTCCCTAATGAATATTCATGAGTCTTCCCCTACCATCCTTTGAAAAAAAATATCGCCTCCGGGCGAGGGCTTTTCAGTGCATTGCATTCAGTCTCACGTCGCTTCCACGCGTCCACTGTAAAGGGATTAAACGTCACACAACAGATAAAGACACATTTCATCCTCTGTTGGAACCATATTGGAACAAAAGTGGCAAACTTCTATCACCCTCGTCTATAAGCAAGGACAAAAGTAAAGAAATTTAATTTGAACTATATCGATTCTGTAATTAAAAGATCGATTTTAAAATCGTAAAAAAAATCGCGATACCTGGCCTGGGTGAATCGATTTTGTCTCCCAGCCCTAATGGTTAATATTCTGGCTCCGCCCTCCTACGTACTTCCGCTCAATTTTCATTTTCCTTCAGTGAAATGTACGAGAGTCTGGTGGGACCAGGCAGGCTAAATGGTTACTCATCTCGGCAAAATCAAGACGTGCCACCATGACAGCGGCATGCGTTTTTCACTGTGATTTAACCACGTTCGAGTATAAATGACAAAACAAACGTTTAAAGTACTTACTTGTTTTTGAACCTTGACGACTTCGCGAATCTGAAGCACAAACGAATCATTAAAGCAATGATTGTTGAACTGGGCCTTTGCAAACTGTAACGCATTCTGAGCTCCGTCGTCGTTCATGTCTGCATCTATAGGACCTCCAACCAGCCCAGCGCTCGCCACGCCCAACATCACCGCCAGAAACGCCACAATCATCTTAAAATACATGTTTAAGCTGTATTAATTGACTCGGGCTGTTTTTGATCAGGTCTTGATTCTCCCTTAATTCGTCAAATCGAAACTGAATGGAACCAAATATGCTGTCTGAGATTATATAGACAAATGCCACTCACTGAAGCGCTGCGAATTAGGGCGGGGCCTCGCGCATCCACCAATCGCAGTTGTGGGAGGGACAACGCCAACGGGTTTGAAAGAAACACATTTTTCTCTCTCTCAATTTAATTACAGCGCTTGCAAGGCGGATACTGTATTGCAATTCTTTTTTAGCCTGCTTCTTTATACTGATCTGCAATTATTTGACATTGTTTTACAGACAATTTCATATTGATCTTTAAAAAACATCGGAATCAGGCTACTTAATTTCAGTTTATAAGTAGCCTATAGTGTATTTCATTTATTTATGTTTTTCCCCCTGTGTTTTGGCTATTTATTCAGGTATCCACCTAGCTGAGATGTTTGACAATGTTTTGATGCTTTATTGGTTGTATAGGCTACATTTGAATGTTTTTTAAACATTTGAATAAAACTTGTACTTTTATAAAGATATACTTTTTTCAGATAATTAATATTAACTCTAATTGAATAATCTCTACATTCAAACTGGCTGCTAAGATTTTAGCAAGATAATCCTGTCAGTCCTGTTCTCTTTATTGTAAATCAAATGTGTCAGATTACTGAGACTGTTATCTTTTGTCTTTAATGGCTCTTGCGCCCCAGTCCCATTCTTTGAATAGTTATGCTAATTTAATTAGGACTGGTAACACTAGAGTCATGGGCGAGTTCCAATGGATACTTCAATTGCATGCTTTGTTTAAGGTCATCAGTCAGGTGCTTTGTCTCCATTTCTAAGTCCATTCCCACATAAATCAATATAAACTATGTATCATTTCATTAGTTAGACTTGATGACTGCAGCTACCAACTGCACATGTTCTCAATAATCCTGCTGAAGATACAATCAAGTCACCTGGGAAGGGTTGCACCAGCCGTTCGTAAGTTCTTTCTTAAATTGGAACATAAAGTCCACTAGAGGCTTAGTAATAGTAGTAAAGTAATTCCGTTGCACCATTTGTTTGTTAGGCAGTAGGTCGTAAGCTCTCTGTAAAGTAATATGACGTTTAGCCTTGATGATCCAATAGCAGCCTTCAAATAGGCTACGTGAGCAGAAGTTGTTTAAATGCTGTGAATTTCAGTTTATCCTTCATTCTAACTTCTTTTGCCTCACTTAACTAACAGTAAAAATATACGTTTCCATTAAATACGACACTTAATCATGAATAACAAGTGTTTTTATATATGTAGCCTAACTAACATTCAGAAACTGTATTTGAAACAAATTAATAAGGATAAATAAGTAATGATTTTTAAAAAAAAACATAAGAAATAACATTTATTGATTATTACTGATTTTATGTGACATGCACAACACGGACCGATGGGACAGATGCACACAGCGGCGCGCTGTTGGGCGGGTTTGTGTTGATGAGCCCCTAACAAAGTAATCTATTCACATAATGTTCTCTCTTTTAAAATGTAAGCAAATTTAAATGTCAGCATTATATGTCTAAAGAATTGAAGTCTGTCAGGTAAAAGAAGAGCTTATTAATGCAGTTCAGTCTGCCTGCTATTTTAGTCCAACCGCTACTCCTGATCGGAGGCTTCCGTAATAGTTTATACATAGTTACGCTTCAACTAACTTTAATGGTGCAACGCAAAAATATTTAGTAGTGCGTAAGTTGTATCTTAGTGCCCATTTATGTCAAAAATAGGCCAAGTTGTAACTCACGCACAGCTGGTGCAACCGGCCCCTGGTCTTCACTTCTGAAATTTCCTACAGTGCAAAGTAACACAACATGACAGTCTCTGGTTCCATAAAACAAAATCTAGAACACTTAACAAATAAAAATAACCACTTTTTCTAGTTTAAGAGGTTGTTTAATTTATCAAAGTGTCAAAGTGGTGCCAACGTTGCCATTTGAGAGAAGTCTGAGTTGGACCGTTGTTTCATTCACTGTAACTCTTATAGGAATCTCATACAGAATAATTCTCAGAGTAAGCAGGGTTTAACCTCATGCAAAGACACAGTGAGTCTATAATGATTATTGTCTAAAAATCCCAAGTCTGTGGCCTGGGATTTTTTTAACCACAGTTTATGTTCTAAAAGAAGAAGAAAACTGCTGCTCTAACTTTGTGCAGTATTTTTTATTTTATTTGATATTGGGCTTTTAAGTCACTTTTGTTAAATATTTTGTCTCAGCTTCTTAGATCAAGTTAGTGACGTTAATCAGTGCATTGTGTGGAATAGCCTAATGGTTGATTCCTACAACTAAATAATCACTGTTATTTGCAGAAAGTAGGCCTATGAAAGAGTGAATGTGCCTGCAGTTTCCTTCCGCAGATTTTCTATCATTACCGAATAAGATTTTCTATCATTACAGAAGTCTGGACATCATTTTTTGAAACACTGTGAATATGGAATATGGAACAAACCCCTTAAATTAAGAAACCGCTTACTGTAGCTATTGTTCATGTATAATCATTAAGGATTGTTAAAGTCTGAAAGATTACCGTAAGTAGATTTTAGACCAGTGTTTCCAAAAACTTTGCCCTGGAGCGCCCAGTCTCTTCAAACGCTGATCCTGGAGACCCACTGGAGAGTTTAGCGGCAACTTTATGAAACCGCTTACTGTAGCTATTGTTCATGTATAATCATTAAGGATTGTTAAAGTCTGAAAGATTACCGTAAGTAGATTTTAGACCAGTGTTTCCAAAAACTTTGCCCTGGAGTGCCCAGTCTCTTCAAACACTGATCCTGGAGACCCACTGGAGAGTTTAGCGGCAACTTTATGATTTTATATATATTATATATATTATCACCTCACCCAATACGATTTAAAAACGACAGTAACAGAAGTAGTTCATAAGCCCCACCTTGTGTCAAAATGATTGATGGTGACCTTTGACCTGCCCCACATGGCCGCTCCTTTGACCCGGCTCAATATGACCAATGACCAGTGCATATTTGTAATACCAATGTTGCCCTATATTACCTTCTGTGTCCTCCAGGGGATAATATGACCTTTTTTTATCCATTTTGAAGATGTAGACCACATATTTGAAGGCCTGAGGGTCATTTTTGAACTCTGATATCAGGTTGGGTCTGTATAACACGTGCAGGCATCATTCCCTCCTTCCACATTCCAGCTCAGGGCATTTTATGGTCTCCCTCTCTGAGCAAGTTAGAAAAAGAAGTTTCCATTGAGGAAACAACAACGTCAAAATAACAAAATCAATAAACAATTTTATTTTTAACAGGCCATAAGGGTGAATCACAATATGGAGACACACACACACACACACACTTCAACACTTAAACATTTCAAATGGTTGAGTACCTATCTACATTTTAAATGATATGATTATATTTAAATATATATTTATCACACTGAATAATAACAATCATGTTACTAAAACATGTAAAATTATAGTTTTAAATAGATCAAAAATAAATAAAAACTTGAAGTAGATACTTACACATCCATGCACGTATGAAATTACTTTTCTTATTAAATTCCCAGTAAATGTAAAGTAAAATTATGATAAAACAAAAGCATATTGTTGACGAATATGTTTGCTGCAATGTTTTTTAGAAATAGGGGTTTTTCAATACACTTTTTTAAAGGATAATCTTGCTTTAAAGTTTGAATAAAAAGTTAAAACCAAACGTATCTTCATATGTGTTCTGTGCCATTAATTGGTACTTTTTGTTTTACTTTTCTTATTTCTACAAAGCTTCCTGCTACTTTTATCAGCCTGATAAATATGAAGTGAATACATGATGAAGAGAGAATCATGCCAAATACGTTTGACACAGTGTTTTTAAGAAAAAGGGGTGTTTTAAAAACGACTAAACCAGATAACAGATTATTTTTCTTGACAAACTATATTAGATAGATAATTTCCCCCTGTGTTTAACCTCCAAGTGGAATAGATCTTACTTTTAAAAGTTTCAAGCACGGGACAAACAAAGAAAACAATATGGATGTCAATTTTACTTGTGAATATGCTTAAGCACGTATTGTACAATATTTTACGCAAGTATCACTGAATAATTCACCATTTTATTAAATCAACCAAATGGGTAACACTTTATAATAACGTTCAGTTAATTTATAAATTATTAGTTAATGATTAACTTATCTTTTACAAAACATGACTATGTTCATAAATACGTGGCATGTTAACATTTTTATGAATGTCTTGTTAAATCAGTTATACATAATTTATGAATGATTAGTTAATGATGAACTAATCATTTACAAAATAAATGTTCATGAATTATTAATAATTTTTATGCTAACTATTTACAAATGTGTTGTTATCTTAAAAAAATGGTAAATCATGAAATAAATCAAATAGATCATTAGTGGTTTAGATATAGCCTTAAGAAACTTTTTGACTGATGATAGTTCTTGTAGCCCCCAGTCCAACCTCAAATTACTTATGTACTAATGATTTCAGTAAATAAGTACAGACAAATGACAAATATTTGGACAAATATTTTAAAAAGGCGGGATGAGATCTTTTTAAAGTTGTTTTATCAATATAACGATATTGTGTGAAGGTGTGTGTACGTCTGTTTTATGTTTTTATTTTACTTTCTGATAGTTGTTTTTGAACATTTTTTATAGCCTATTGATTGATATTGTGGTGAAACTGTTTTTCCAATTTCTTTATTTTACATTGTGAACCGTTTGTTGTTTTTGAATATCTTATATTGATATTGTGTGAAATTGTATTCTCATTATTTGTTTTTAATGCTTGTGAAGCACTTTGAGTTGCATTCCATGTATGAAAAGTGCTATACAAATAAATGTTTATTATTATTATAATTATTAGGCTATTACTATTATAAATGACGAATAAAATATGTAGTCTATGTAAAATAAAGGCTACATTGTGACAAAATTACACAAAAAACAGTCAAAAGAAAGATCCTGTAGGCTACTGTAGTCTATGAAAAAAAATACTGAGTGATCTTTAATATAGAAATATTTCATAAACCATGTTTTGCCTTCTCGAGCTATAAACTACAATTCTTAATAATTTATGATCTTCAAAGTTTGTGAATTACATGAGTAAAATGTTTCCATAGCCTACATCTACACTGGCACTCGGGGGAAAAAAAAACGTTTCCCTGTTTCATGGAAGTCCTAAAAGCATGCATCATTTATATATATATATATCTTTATTTCTCATAATATTGACATAAGTTCGTTTCTCGTGATCTTAGATAGGATCACGAGAAAACAAGAAATAAAAAAATAATTTATGGCCTTTTAGGATTCCATTCAGTTAAAAAAGTTAAAAAACACCTCTCCCAGTTTGAAAAGACCCCACAATTTGGAAACGCCCCCTTTTAGTTTCCGGTTTTTTACTTTTGGGGTAAAAAAAAAAACCCTCCGCCTCCTTCGCTCCTTGAACGTCTTTGCACTTTGAACGTTTACATAAGCACGATTATTTGTCAAGTATACAGCTTGTCTGGAAAAGACACGGCTACCTAACGTACGATGGGTTTTGAGGACTCCATTATGCAGACAGTTGAATGCATCAAGTGAGTAAAACTGTGGAACACGGGATGTTTAGAGTTCAGAAATGCAAACGCAGTCTCATGTTTTGGTGCGGTTAAACCATTTCCGTCGATGTGCAACTTGCCTAGTCATTTAATTCGGGGTCATTTCATACACTTCACCAGATTCCTGCAATTCCACCACATTCTTCTGTGTAATCATTCAGCTGAGTTTTTATTGTTGTATGTAAAAACAAATCTTTGCATGGCTATTTTGAGTTGCGTTTCATTCACTTAATTGTTTTAAGTAATATTCGTGATTTCAAATTTCCATGACTTAAAAACGTAATTGTTTTAATGCAATGCAAATTAATTTCTTTATTTGCATATAATTCAAAATGCCTCATGTCATGAAGAGCGAGTACTCAAGACTATAAACACTTTTGAGATACCTTAAAATGCTATTTTAATAGAGGAACAAACACATCCTGACAACACCTTACTAAATGTGACAAAATCAACGACAGCAATGGTCATACAGTGCCACCATATTAAGTATTACTGTCCCAGTGCATGGTGGGAAGAGCTGGATGTGGCCAAATCACAATTGGTTTTTTCCCATTTTCGGTTTATTTGAAGTAAAAAAACAAACATAAACCTAACCCACCTGCTATGCTCACTTGCTTAGTCATAAAGTAAACTACAGTGATCAAATAAAGGCTGGAATACACTACTTGATTTTTGCAGTCTGGGCGAGTCAGCGCTAGTTGCTAAAAGTACGAGTCGGTCTGCAGATTTTGGGCAGTCGGAGTTGACAGATTTAAATAGTGAAGTGTATGATGGACACATACTCCGATTTATTTCTATTTATGTTGAGTCGATTTTAGAACGATGTTGTTTTGATTTTTCATGTTTTCTAGCAATGAGGCGAATGTTTCTGAATGTTTCTGTTTCATATCTTAAAATATGTCAGTGCTATTGTTTTGTCTCAAGATGAAGACCAGTAATGTCTTTTCTAAGGCATTATAAAAGCTACTTGAATGTCCAAATTGAACTAAGGCCCAATCCTGGCTTAATCTAAGCCCTGTATGTGAAACCAGGCCCTAGTGTTTTAAAATCTGCTCAGATTGGTAAATCATGTAGTGTATTCCAGCCCTAAATCGTTGGTTATTTTTTTCAACATTATTTGTCAACCAACTTCCTTCACTTTTAGAGAGACCCTTGGCAACCTTGATCGGTCTAAACTACAGCTCTTAGCACTCTCTTCTGCTGGAGTTGGTGCTCTTTTGTGCTACTTGGCATGGAAGCAAAGCCCCAAAACGATACCAATGGGAGATGGCTGGTGGGGAGCTGGGGAGAAGCCTTTAACTGAGGACAAAACCATTCACAGATTTGTAGTGAAGACCTCGGTGGAAGAGATAGAGGTGGGCACACAACCACCTGAACAGTAATAATGTTGTGTAATGCAACGGAGCATATTTTGGGTGAAGAATTACATGTGGATCAGCAGTTCAAGAATCAAATAATAGGTTTTTCACATAAATCCCCACAAGATCATTCTTCTCCGCTTTCATACATGTGCTAAGCATTCATTTACTCAACCACAATATATTTATGTCATCATTAACTGCACTGTTTTCTTCAGGATCTGCACAGACGCATTGATCAAACACGCTTCACGGATCCACTGGAGGATTCCTGCTTTCATTATGGATTTAACTCGTCTTACCTTAAACGGGTGGTCTCTTATTGGAGACAGGAGTTTGACTGGGAGAAGCAGGTGAAGGTGATTAACCAGTATCCTCACTTCAAAACCAAAATTGAGGGTAAGAACATAACACTTTTAAAGGATATAATTTACCTGACTAGATAAAAACCTGTTGTAACAAAGTATGCAATTTTCTCGTTATCTTTTAAGTCCCACATCATGCATTCACAAAATGTGTTTAGGTGTATTTCAAGCTGTTCTAGATTATTTGTTTTTTTGGTGACAACACGTCAACATTTTAGTGAAATTCTGTACTGCTTTTCAGGTATAGATGTGCATTTCGTTCATGTGAAGCCTGTTCAGAAGTCTGGAAAGACAGTTCTCCCTCTCATGATGGTTCACGGCTGGCCTGGTACCTTTTATGAGTTTTACGGGATTCTGCCCTTGCTTACTGAGACGGATTCAAATGTGGTCTTTGAGGTCATCTGTCCCTCCATTCCAGGCTACGGCTACTCTGAAGCACCACATAAAAAAGGTAAGTCTACCAACATGCAACGGGTAGCAAGAACTAATTCTACTAGACAATAGAGTACATCAGTGCCTGCCCCCCTTTTCAGCAGAGCTGGTTCCGGAAGTATTTTCTCCATTCATTTTTAAAATAGTCTTCGTTAAAAAGTTAAAAGCCATGAACCAAGCCAATCAGCTACAAGGTATATCACAACACTACAAACTTTGATTTGAATTTTTGAAAAACGGACAAAAAGACAAAGGCACAAGATTGTGTACTTAACGTCTTTAGTCGGAAAGAAATACATCCCATGAAGCATTGCGAACAACATAATCGAATTAAAAACAAAGGAGAAGTATAAAACAAAGGAGGTGTATATTTGAAGTTTATTGCAAAATATGCTTATATCTATAAGCATTTAAGTATTTTTAGAACTTAAAAAAAAAAAACGTTTTGATTACTTTTATGATTGGTGTAATTTTCTGTACAGCATCATGGGTAATGTAGTTTTTCACAAGGAATTCTGCTGTTAAACACAATAATTTTAAAAATAAGCTGAAATAATGCTTGTGTACGACTTCAGCAGAAGCAAATACCATGAATTAACAACCTCGTAGCTCACAGTAGGTCTGTCTTTAAAGGTTTATAAATATTGTTCAAAATCAATTTCCCTATGGAGAAAATTAATGGAGTTTTTACTTCCAGAACCCGACTGTTGCACTCTGACCTGAATAACTTGTTACTGACAAACAAATGGCATGATGGCATATTGATAATATACAATCTTAACATCTGTAAATAGATGGAAAATGGAGAATAGACCTGCTATTCTTTCTATTATTTCATGTGAAGGTTTTAATACTATGGAAGCTGCCCGCATCTTCCATAAGCTCATGGAAAGACTGGGGTTCACTGAGTTTTATGTGCAGGGAGGAGACTGGGGAGCTTTCATTACCAGCAACATGGCCCAGATGAAGCCAGAGTAGGAGTTTCACACCCTTTACTATCCAAATCACTGTCCTTTTTATGACATGAATTCTCTGTCAATGTATTATTTGTTACTTTTTCCATGTTTAATTAATACAGAGCAATACATTTTATAATAGTGTTTATTGTCAATTAAAACGTTGCCTATTGCTCTCTTTAAAATAAGGTGTGTTCGTGGTCTACACTTGAACATGATCATTGCCAGGACAGACAGCCTTGGACAGCTCCTCTCCTTAGTCATTGGTCGCTACCTGCCGTTCCTGGTGGGCTTTACAAAGGAAGATGTCAGACGACTCTATCCCTACATGGAGAAGAATTTATATGATATACTGAGAGAAACTGGCTATTTACACATTCAAGCCACTAAACCGGACACAGCAGGTAGGTAATGCTTGGCACATATTATACTATGCTTTTGGGTCATGTCAAATTAACACTTAATTGAGCACTTCATTTATCTAAAAATATTTTTTGTGCATTTTGTCATTCCTGCAGGATGTGGACTGAATGACTCTCCAGTCGGATTGGCTGCATATATCTTGGAGAAATTCTCCTCCTGGACAGACTTGGGAAACAGAGACTTGGAGGATGGAGGTTTGGAGAGGTAAAGAGAGTTTAATCACATACAGGTGCAATTATTTTTGCACAGATATAAATAAACACTACCATTCAAAGTAAGGTAAGATTTTTTTTTTTTATGTTTTTGAAAGAAGTCTTTTATGTTTACAAAGGCTGCATTTATTTGATTTTATTTATTTGAAGTAGAGTAGAAAAACAATAATATTATGAAATATTATAATTTAAAATAACTGTATTCCATTTAAATTATTTATTCCTGTGATGGCAAAGTTGAATTTTCAGCATCATTACTCCAGTCTTTAGTGTCACATTCGTATATGCTGATTTTGTGCTCAAGATTTTTTTTCTTCCTTATTGTAAACGTTAATAATGGTTGTACTGTGGAATATTTTTGTAAAAATCTGTAATATTTTTTTCAGGATTCTTTGATTAATAGAAAGTTAAAAAGAAAAGCATTAATTTGAGATACAACTGTTTTTGTAACATGTCTAATCATTTTAATATCAATTATAGTAATATCAATAATAGTAAATTTTGATCAATTTAATATATCTATTCATTTTTGAACTCGGATGAATACATTCTAAAAAAATTAAAGGGTTTAGTTTGATTTGAATTAAATTATTTTTGTTCCATTGTAGGAAGTTCAGTCTAGATGATCTCCTTACAAATGTCATGATCTACTGGACCACATGTTCCATCATTCCCTCCATGCGTTTCTACAAAGAGAACCTGAAGAAAGACTTCAAGACGAGGGTGGACAGAGTGTAAGTTCAAAAAAATTTGTAGTGACCCGAAGTGAATACTCATCATAAAAGGATTGTCAAAATTAACATGCTTTAACATGATTTTCCAACATATAATATATTACATACAAAAAATATAATTCTTTCAGGGTTTCCGCGCGGTAGTAAAAGGTAGTAAAAGGTAGTAAAAATAATCTACCAAAATTAAGGCCCTTGAAAGGTAGTAAAAGGTAATAAATGCAATTTGACTTGGTAGTAAATTTCTCATCACCACCTCAATATGAGTTTCCATTTTTTTTCCAAAAAAATAAGGCTGTCTATGACGTAAATGTGTCTTATTAGTGGAATATTAAACGCAATATAGTAACATTAGCTGTGGTGCGCGAGCAGTGGATTGAGCGCGCAGCGGCACAGACGCGCGAGCTGGTCGAGCTCGAGCACATCCCTTCAAACAGACATCAGTGGAAAGTTTGTAGTTCAGTCGGATGTCAATGGCAAAGAAGATTAAAACGAGTCATCTAGCTTATTATTTACGTTAACTGACGAGAGAGAGAGAGCGCGCGCGCGCACTTCTGTTGAATGCTCCTGATCGTTCACTCAGCACGTGTTATTTGAATGAAAACTAAATCGTATATGTAAGTAAAGTAAAACATGACCTGTTACCTGATTTATGTATAACAAATGGTTCCCTACATTATTACTGGACGTGTGCAGGTCAAGAAGTTCCATGAACGCAAACATCCAAAGCGCGCGCTTCGCAAACCATCGCCTCAGCGCTCGAATACTGAAAGTTGTCTTTCACGTCACAAAATTATGTAAAAACGCCCGTCTTGGCGAGTATCCTAGTAAACAAAGTTGGTTATATCTCATGTGAACGTAGCCATGTTCAAATGTGCATTCGGTCTTAAAGGGGCAGCACTTTAATATACCTGCTACTGTGTTTTAATGTTAATCAAACAAAGGACAAATAAATTACTCACTGCTCTTGACTAAATGGTCTACCCTTTTCAACTTTACAAAAATATCCATCTATATTTAATTTATACAATAATGAATTGCAATTTTTTGACATTTGATTACTGTATTCAAATGTATGTACCAATCTACCCGAAAAACTCTAAAAACACTGTTTATTTCATTTGTATCTTTTCTTTGTTCTATTGTATTTATTTGTCCTATTTGTAATTCGATTATTTTTTCTTATTTTGTTACTGACTGCTTACTTTTATTGGGCTGGTAGTTTTTGTTGTAGTATCAAAATTGGATTAAATAACTGGTATTTCACTGGTGTCTAAACATTTGCACCACTGACCCAATCTCAGCGCTGAGCCCTGCTGGAGCAGCTCTAAATATGTGCTGTGCTATTAAATGCAAGATAAAATATGATAGAGTAATAGAATGAACAGTGACAGAAACAGAAGCATGCTTTTTAGAAGGATTAATTAAGCATGAAAATATCTAAAGGAAATATATATTTGATGAACAAATTAAGCCAACTAATATGATTTATATTCTTTTGGTTTATCTACTAATACATTTAAAAATTACAAATGCAGTGAAAATTCAGGGATCGGTTACGGTATCGATATCGGCGAGTGCCACAAATGAAAGTGTTGGTATCGGTCTCGTTTTCGTTCTGCAAAAAGTGGTATCGGTGCATCCCTAATTGAAAATATTTAACGGGTGAGGGGGGAGCAGCTCCCTATTTTGATGCTAGCAGCACTACACAGATCACGGCAAATCATGCCAACTTAAGGTTAGCTGTCGTCGCACCATCTCAGCAGCAAACCAGTGCAATATTTGAAGCACATTTAGAGATGTGATGAAATAAATTGCTGTTTTGGGATAGTAATTTCACTGCTTAAGTCTGCGTGTGTGAGAATGTGTGTTTGTGGGTAAGTGTGTGTGATGTGACACACTTTATTATAAATTTTTTTTTAATGTTTATTGTTGTTAAGTGTCATTCGTTTTTAAGAAGTGCCAAGGTTTTTCTTCACCTTATTAGGGCTAAGGGCTAACGTTATGGTTAGGATAACTCGAGGGCTAGGGTTAAGATAAGGACAACTGAAACTCAACTCGACACTAATATTTTCATTGTCAATTATGTTGTTTTTTTTTGTAATGATCACAATTAAACATTAGTGTACCTAATATGTATGACGTGTGTGACAGTGTCACACTTATACCTTATAGTAAGTAGTAAGTGGTGCTTTGCATACCCCTCCCACACCCCCCAAAAAAGGGCTGCTGCTTGATGTCGTGTTGGTAGTAAAAAATATTCTGGAGGTAGTAAAAAAGGTAGTAAAAGGTAGTAAATTCATCTCTATGATTCCTGCATAAACCCTGTTCTTTGCAGCCTATCCAAAAAAGATTTGTATGGCTAAATTGTTTTCCTCCCTTTCCCTGAAAGGACAAGTGTGTTTGTGCCCACTGGCCTGGCTGCCTTTCCTGATGAGTTACTCCACTGTCCTAGAGCCTGGGCCAGCTCACGGTTTGCAGATGTGCGTTCCTTCACCTACATGAGCCGAGGGGGTCACTTCGCTGCCTTCGAAGAACCCCAGCTTCTGGCTAATGACATCATTCAGTTTGTGGAGAAAGTGGAGAGCAAAGTCCACAAATAACAGCTTTATTCCAGTATCTTAAGGAAAAAAAAATGCACTGCTTTGGGCTGCGTTTCCAAAAAGCATTGTATGCTTAAGTTGATAGTAGAACAATTGCCACCAATGGTCTCTACGATCAACTTAGGCTTACTATGCTTTTGGGAAATGCAGCACTGATCGTTTCCATTTAGTGTTAGAAATCCAAGGTTTTTCAGTGAACCAAATGAAGTTATATAATGATGTTCTGTACAATATAATTTACACTCTTTTTTTGCATGATGTCTTGTGCATAAAACTCTATAGATATACTCTTTTTTTTACTTTGTGCTATTAAAGTCTGCAAAGTTTCAAAAGCTCACCTCTGCTTGCTAAGGAGAAACTTAGTTTCATGGAATATTACAATATACACTACAATCATTACTGTGTCATTTCAATCAGTTTAATTAACTCTGACCTTAAGATTGAATGTTCTTTTTTAAGTGAATGGAAATGCTAATAAATGCAAATAAAAGCAGACAGTACAAAGATATAGCACCAAATGGAAAATGGAGTGTTAAATTGCATTATTTTCATTAACATATATAATGACAGACTTGAAGAGCCCCAAAACACATAATTAATTTTTAAGTGAACTAAAATTGTGTACATTCCTCAGTTTACAAAAGCTACTATTTAGCAGATGGTTTTAATTCGTTGCGACTTAAAAAATTATACAAATGGTCTTAAAGTGAGTAGCAGCTCAGATTATAAAACAACAGAAAACCACCACTGTATACTGTAAAATAATGTAAAACATAGATGGATTAGCTGATGATAATGTAAACATGGCATAAATAATCTGCAGTTATAAAACATTAAAGTTCACACAGAATTCCTGAATAAAGCATATTAAAAAAAACAAAAAAACAATAGCCCATATTTTTTGGCCAGTCATACAATGATCCCTGAGAATGGAGTGAATTGTATTCCAACATTCCCTGAAATCTGTTACTCTTTATTCCCTCATCATTTACAGAATCCTTTCACAGTGACAGGGGCCTGAAACCATATATAGTCCTCCAGGTCTCTCTTACTTTTTTGTAGTTCCCCGGTAAGTGACAAATCACTGGCTATAGAGATGACTTGTCTTTTCACTTTTGTGGGAAATTTAAAATCCACTTTGGGTTTAAACCCAGTCACACCACAATCCCGGTGCCCCAGAGCCATGACTGTGGTGGTCATGAGACGCACAGACTTGGCATCCGACAACAGGTCGGCCACAAATAGCGTCCGGAAAAGCTGTCTTAGACAGCTTGAGGTCCTTAAGCTGTTTTTGCCAGCCTCAACAGCCAATGCTTCCATGTTGACCTCATAAAGCTCAGTGGGAAGGATGGTAGATCCACCCAGCAGAAAAAGCACACAGGGAACATGGCTAAGAGAGAATAGGGCCTCAAGGTGAGCCAGCACTTCATCCAACTCCTGCAACGTCCGCTGGCACCGACGCCAGTCCAAGCCCCCTGATGTCTTTGCAGGCCGTCGGTTCACCGTGTCCTCCGTCTGTGAAAAAGAAAGCACAGTTATACCAGATACAAACTACAATTCAATTCGGAATCAAACACATATGAGGCCTTCTGTAATACCTGAGTGGTATTATGCTGCTGTTTCTGCAGGAACACCATTTGGTCATATGTCATTGGCATCTGTTGCCGCTGGTAAAGGACACACTTCAGAAGCTCGCAAACTAATCTACAGCAACCGTCCTGGGTGATGTGCCCGGGGAAGACGACATTCACTCGTCCTTCCTCTCTCGCTCTCCTGAATATTTCCTCATCATCAACATGGTGTGCAGATATTTCACTAGATTCCCCCTGACTGCCAGAAGAACTGGCCAAAGCATTGGTCTGCTGGCAACCTTGAAATAAGACATTTACATGACATTATTAACTGAAAATAAAATGAGCAGAATAAAAATTTCTGAGATTTTATCTGTTTAGTCTGAGGCGAAGACTAGAATAGACAGACATATGGGTCAATGATGTGACGCATTTTATTTTTGTCCAGATCAAATAATTATTATATAAAAAAAATACATAATATAACATTTTAATGACATTGTTTAGGTCATATGACGTAAACCTAATTCATGATATTTGCAAAGTAATATAATACATAAGCAAACACATAAACATCTATAAAGACATACACACATATATGTCTGTATATAATGTGTGCGTGAGATTTTTTGACTTATCATTTGTAATCATCTTATTATTTATAACTGCCTCATATTTACTGATATTTAACTAACTGGTGTTTGATTTTCTATCACAGTTAGTTTTGTGAAGCATACAGGAAATGGAACCGTTTATCACCACTTACCTACATCATGATCGTCACCTCTATGCTCAGTTTTTGCATGTGTGGAGATATTTCTGTTTTCTTTGTCCTCTGATGGTTTAAAGGTCTCCACACAAACCCTGTCTCTCTCAATCTCACCAATGTTGTCCAGCAGGCACACATTTTCCACCTGAGAATGAGGGGAGGATTCAGGATCATCGACATGGCACAAAATGTTCCTTTCCGTTTCTCCGTCAGATGAAACCTTTGTTTGTTCTTCGTGAGATGTGCATTGATTGGTGTTAATAAGTTTGTCATTGTAGCTGTTGTTAGAAGTTTCGTTGGTACTGCTGTGTTTGGTGACAGTCATGTTTGCACACTCAACCTCTCTCCTCCTCGATCCCTCTTCCATTTTTAATGTTTGAAACTTCGAATTTACACCCACTGTGCACGGCATCATGGGAAACACGGGAACCGGAAATCACGAGAAAGGAAATAAGAGTCTCATTCCTTTTTATTACAAATTTTATTTCACGTTTTTATATTTATAAAGTGTTCGGTCAAAATGTTCGTAGCAGATCAAAATCAGATCTATTCATTTTCTTTTTGTTCCTGTACCTTTTTTTGTTTTCTCTTCGGGTTTCAAAGAAGCGGTTAATTGACGCCCTCTGCAGGTTGACTTTTTCACTGTCAGGACCATAGACTGTAAAAAAAAGGTTAGCACCATTAGGTTCTTTCTGTGAATGCTCCACTGAAACAATCTCTCATTTGTTTTGGTCTTGCCAATATACCCAGTATTTTTGGAATAATGTGGAGATTTTCATTGCTGATACTATTTTAAAAACATTTGAATTATCTTACAAACATGTGATTTTGGGCTATTATATCAAGGATCTCTCTTTAAAGGATGTTGGTTTTATTATATATTTTATTTCTATGTAAATTTCACATTCACAAATGCAAGTTTACAAAAGGCAAACCTCTTTTTATGGTGCTTGGGAAAGAGATTAAAATGTATGTAGATGTGATGTATAGTATATTTTATAGTATATGTATAGTATAAAGTATATTTTCTGTATTTAAATTGCATTGAAATACCCTTTGGAATTGTTAAATGTATAACGTATATCTATTTGTAAACTGATGCTTATGTACCCTCTCATCATTTTATTTTTATTATAATTTTGTTTTGTTTTTCTTCTTGTTGAGGCATGTGAATTATAATTTTTGTTATATGAGATAGGACACTGTACACGCTACCTGTTGTTGACAATAAAGCATAAAAAAAAACCATTAGGTTCTTGGCCATTCTTTACTAAATGCTATTATGTTATTGCAGGATTGATGGTCTTTGTGCATCTAGAAACATTCTGTACACTAACCAGGAGGCATGGAGACTTCTGTAGAGACGACATGCATTACATTCGGGACTTTATAGACTTTTACTGTTTTAAGTGCCTAATGTCTTGTCGAATAAACACTTTTATCAATTAAATATACAGAAAATGTGATTTTTTTAAAACATATTTTCTTCCAACAAGAGACATATGCAGCACACATTTTAGGAACTCATTTCCAAGTGTGCACATCGTGAATTAATTCCTCAAAGCAACAGATTCTGAATGTTTCCACAAGAATACTTATATCTAAAGTTATCCTCCTTATGAGAACAGATCAATGTGTCTCATTGTATGCATGTAGGTTAAAGGCATTTGTACAAATACCACAAACCGGTTGATACAGAACGTTACTTTCACAACCAGTAAATCACCAACATCATTTGATCCATCATTTCCATTACTAAATAGAGCTAGAACCTAAATTAGATAGATCAAAAATAAAAAATAAATGTTACAAAGTTATGTTAGCATGGATTTCAATAGTTATAATTATGAAAGTTAGATTGCAAGTTAGTTAGAGAGTGTACCAGTCGCTAAACAGAAATTGCGTTCGCCAGAGGTAACCATAGCAACAGTATCCCGCTAGCACGTTTTCCATAGCAATTTGTGTCACTTTGAGTTTGGATGGATGGATGATAGATAGAATATTTTATGTCAAATCTGAGGAAAAAGTCAGTCAATAAAGTTGCACATCACTATACAATTGTATTAAATATGTGCTACATCCCCGCATTACTACCACGCACGGCGCTCCAGTCTTTTAAAGCTCTTTTACTCGCTCCCCACGGTTGCTACCCTACCAGCCCTACAACGCTTTGACGCTCAACCTAGCGCACGTCAAGCGTATGCGCATTTTATCTGACTGCCGCATGAAACAACCCAATCACAACACCACTTCCGCGTACGAATCGACCAATCACCGAGCGCCGTTTTGCACGCAGCCTCCACGGGCAGCGTTAAGATAGGTTGCGTCACCGCACACAGTCTCCCCACCAAGTACAATTTGACAGTTTCTCAGGTGAGGAGTCACGCTACAGGAGCTCTTTCACTTTCTCTTGAGTTTCAGCGCGCGCATCACTGTGAGCCTGGGGTTGTTTAACTCAAAAAGCTTTTACCAGAAGCCCTCACACCACGGCACCATGAGCAAAAAGAAAAAGGAGTGGAGAGCGGAGAAAGGTAAGGCTCTTTTGGACTCTGGTCGTGTCTCTTCCGTTTAAAGACAGCATTCATAACGGTAGTGTCAGTCTGGGGTTTGACATCCACCGGGTTGAACATGCGGTTACGTCACGTACGTGGCGGGAGAAATATTTTCTTATAGACGCTCTGCCTCTTGAATCAACAGCATGGGGACACACGCACACCTTCAGGTGCAGGTGGAGCATCAGTGCATGATGCTGTGATCAAGGCCCTGATATGTCCAGCGTTAAATTATGTTTAAATGCAAATAAAATGTATGAATTAGTGTTTAGTCATTTTAGAATGAGCTGACACGTGCGTTTGCTTGGTGCAGCCAGTGAAACACCGAATGATAAAACATTTCCATTAACCTTTGTACCATATGACTTACTCTGTGTGGTGTGAACCTGTAACGGGTAAATCCCTGTTTACTGTAAATCAGTTTGTAGAAATGCACAAGCTAAATTACAAATTGGATTGGAAGGGCTGTTAATGGATTAAAAGTTCAGTGAGATGAATATCATGCATTCTGCAGTGGCTCAGTCCTGGTCCTGGATATTCACCATCATTAGTAGTTTAGTTCTATTGCCTTCATTTGTTTTGTTAGTATACTTTCCAAACATTAGTTGGTTCAGTTATGATAAACCAATATTGGAGCTGAACTATACTTGGAGGTTCTCTACTGTTCTGTACTGTTCTATGCCGTTTTAATACTATCATATTTTAGCTTGATTTGATGTGAGAACCTTAATGATTTTGTGTTACATCGGAGACACTTTATCATTATCATTAGATAATGACATCAGATTAATTTATTTTAAGTGCATAAGCACTCCTATATTGACATAAAAATCACCCACAGTGTGACCTGATGTTCATGACAACAGTGTTTTTGACATGTCCTATGAAGGCGTGTAAAACATTAGGTTGACCGTGGCATTACTTTACACACAGTAATGGTCTGTTATCGTACATCAAATGCATAATAATATGATAAATTATATATGATGAGAGCTGTTGACTTGTGGCCTAGTGTAATACAGTGTATTGCAGTGAACGGATATCAAATGTTTCCTTTATAATATCTTTTTTTTTTTAGTGATTTGATTAAATGAATCAGCGCTGTTGTCATTTGTAGTATTTTAAAATAGTACATAGTACATCATGAATACACATTGTGCTCATAAAGGAGCCCTTGAGAAAGTGATCTTCATTCGTGTAGCAATAGGGAGTGCAGAAGGATAAAAACAGAAAAAAATAAATTAATAAAGATGGTTGAAAAGGCAGATGTAGGGGGCAGTGAGCATGAAAAATCAGTAGTGTCGGCAGGGGCACTTTGGAGCTGGTTTATAACAGGAATACCAAGCTAAAGATTCATTTTGTCTTGAAAGCGAGACATTTTTATTTTGGGAGGGTTTTAGAGCTTGTTATATTTTATGTACATGTTAACTTATTCTCACCACATAATACATAGTAAAGCCATTACAATAAATTTTTTTTTTTTTTTAATTTATATGAAATACAGAATTATGGGAAGTAAATTTGCCCCTGCATTTTTTTTTTTTTTACTGTCCATTCTATGAAAAACCCTTTACAAATGTTTTGTTATTTTGTACAAGGAAAGGTCGCATTAACTGGAGAAACAAAAGTGAAACTGAAATCGTAGGAACCAACTATGTAAGCTTTAGTCTAGTGCTAAACTAGGCTAGTTAATGAAACATGTCTTTATTACAATGAAAGGCACAAATATTTGGAAATTTCTGAATCATGTTGTCCTTGAATGCTAGATAGAACTGATCACACACGGTCTGGTTGCATGTCAGGCCTGCAGCTGTATGCTGAGCAGTGTACCCTCATTAGCCTGTCTCTGCTTTCTCACACATACTTACATGGCTGCCACAATTACCACACCAAAGAGTACCACTCTGACACGATGCACAGAGCTAGTCGCAGATGTTCCTTTATGAACCCCTCTGATTCAAACTGATTAGCTTTGCTTCACAAGACATGCTCTTGTCTGTATATGACTGTATTGTTTCTTCTGTTCCACAGAGCGCTTACTCAGTCTTGGACTAGAGGATAGGCGCAAAGATTATCGGGGAAACTATGTGACATTGGACAAGATACCCACCTGGGCAAATCATGACAATAATACAGGTAAATACCAAAGCCTTTCTGACTTCCTGTTTTTTGACCTATAGCAGACAGGTGGAGTGCTTTGAGTAGCTGTTTAAAAATGATTTGCAATTCTGTTTTATGCTAGTGGATTATACACTTTACCTTCAAGTAGCCCACAAGGTTTTACAAGAGTGAATTGTATACCGTTAATGTTTGGGATCAGTTGATTTTTCTTTTCTTTTTTTAAAGACTAATGCTTATACTCACTAAGGATCCTTTAAACGGATCAAAAGTGACAGTAAAGATGTTATAATGTTACAAAAGATTTATATTTCAAATAAATGCTTTTGAACTTTCTATTAATCAAAGGATTCTGAAAAATGTATCACAGTTTACACAAAAATATTAAGCAGCTGTTTTCAATATTAATAAAAAATAAGAAGTGTTTATTGAGCAGCAAATCAGCATATTAGAATGATTTCTGAAGGATCATGTGACACTGAAGACTGGAGTAATGATGCTGAAAATTTTGCTTTGCCATTACAGTAATAAATTTGATTAAAATATATTAAAGTAGAATAATGTTATTTCAAATTATATTATTTCACAATATTAATGTTTTTGTGTTTTGATCAACTATGTGCAGCCTTATTGGTGAACATAAGGGACTTGTTTCAAAAACATTAAAACAAATCTTTTGAATGATAGTGTATGTCTTGGTGAATAGCTTTAGAGCTCTTTTATAGTATTGAAGTTGCAAAGTCATTCTGGAAGAAGGTACTGGTTGTTTCATGTCCTTCTTTGCCAGCAGACATCATAGTCACTCTGCATGCAAGTGACTTGCTGCCCTTTTAAAAAGAAAAGGACACATGGATCAGTGTGACCCTGACAGCTCAGATATCATGGCTTATTTATGGATGAACCTACCAAATTTTTGAAAAGATGTCAGCCGCCGTCCCTTTCGTAGCCTTTGTTTGTGCAGGATTTCTAGTGCTAAGATAGTTGAGCTACCCTGACCTAAGCTTATTTTTTTTATAGATTTATTCGATGGTTTCCCAAACTGAACAGAAAGACAGTTTTTCAATGTAGCTTAAATTCTGTTATGTCCACCGCCCCCCATTTATTTGATCTCTAAAACTACATACAGAAGTCTTAGAATATCAAACATCTGAAGCTATTGTTTCCTGTTTTAAGACCAGAGTTCTGTTGCATAAAAACATAATTGGTCTACAAAAGACTCAGTCTTAAAGGGATAGTCCTACCTAAAATGAAAATTAAGTCATCATTTACTCACCCTGGTGTTCTAATGCCGTATGCCCTTTCTTTAATGCACCACAAAAAGGAGAATTTGTAAAAAAAAAATGTCAGCCGCTCACGCTTGTCCATATAATGGTAGTGAATAGCGGCCAGCATCAAACTTTTGAAAAAAGACGCAAAACTATCACAAAATGATCCCATGCCGTATGTTCCAAGTGTTCTGGTGGTATACGATGGGGTTTGGTGAAAAACAAACCGAAATATAATGTATTAATTAATGAAATTCTTGACCTTGGCTGTTGGGCTTTAGAGTTCACTCAGACTTTTTCAAATTTTCATTTTAGGGTAAACTATCCCTTTAACATAATGGCTATGTTACTGTTTATGCAACTGGCCCCAGAAGATCAGAAATAGTTTTAAAGGGATTGAAAAAAACATTGTAATTTACTTACCCTCATTTCTAAACCTAACTAGTTTTGTGAACCAACAGATTCACCAGTCTCAAAAGTGATTTGTTCACAAATCTGATGTTCACTTCTCTCATAAATGCAGCAAGGGTTTCAGTGAATGGTGACTTACATTTTTGTTTCACACACAAGACTACCGTTGACTTCAGAAGTCTTGAAAAATAGTGCTATGCACATTTAATAGTGCACCTTTATTAGTGCTATCTGGTTTGCCTGAAGGTGTCAGTCCATTTTTTTAAAATTGCATAAGAAAGATCACGGAAAACAGATTTTCTTGTTGTGTTCCACAGAAGAAAGGAGGTCACATGGGTTTGTAAATGAAGACGGCTTTTTATTTTTGGGTGAACAAGAAAGAAATGTAAGAAATTTTCTCTGCATTTTATTTTCTGTGTTATTCATCTTGCTCGTTTGAATGCAAAAAACCCCCCAAAAAACCGGGAGAGCATGAATTGCATGTTTTTACTGAGGCACAGTGGGAAACCGGTTTCATACAAAAAGTTAGACAAAGTGCAGCGCAAACACAGTATTTTTATTACTTTAACACATATTTATAAAAGACTTGAATATACTCATTCTTGAAATGTAACGTTATTTGTTTTCTCACATAATGTTCTAGAATTGACACAAAGTGCTTGCTAATTCATTTAATGAGACAGGGACACATGTAGGCACAGTACCTGTATGGATATGATCCAGAATAGATCATGATTCCAGCTAATCCAGTATAAGGGACAGCAGAGATTCTGGATTTCATCTGTCCTACAGATGATTCAGTGAAACAAGGCAGAGGAACTCTGCTATCATACTCTTCATGTCTCACAACTTTGTTAACAGGACTCTCATAGCAATGACACTTGTAAGTACACTACTGTATCCTACTGCATTCATGTCAGCAGTGCCTATTTATACTATATACACTATTATTATTATTATAGTAGTAATATGCTATTTGTTTTAAAGCAAAATATCTGTGCAGTGGGTGAAGTGAGTAAAAAATGCATTTGCAAACAATAGTTATTTGCTCTCAGTGTAAATAGACACTATATCCATCCAAAGTTGCAAATTTAACTTGTGTGCAAAATTGGAATATTTGATAAAACATTTGTGAATAAAGCACTGTTTCCATTCCATGTGTTCAAGAGAACAAAATAGTCACTTCCTGGGAAATTTGCGCAAAGTGTCTGTAATAAAAATGGAATTTGCTGTAATCGGGGAAGCCACTGTTGCTCTTTTATCCTACATCACAAATGACTTGCACCTTTATCTTGCGTTCGGAAGCCTGACGTTTGTGAACGCAGTCGTGTGAGACACAAACTCATGTGAGTTTTTTTTCTTTCTTTTTTTCTCGCATTGAAGGATTTATTCAGTAAATGTGTTTCTATATCGTGGTTTATGCCCATGTCTTCATTACAGATAAAAATGATTTAACTTAATTGAGTGCATACTTTTTTAAATTTATTGTTTGTATGCGCATTTGTAGAATTTGTGTGCATCTTGGGGTTTTGTATCCGGAGGTTTTTTTATGCAATATTCCAAAATTTGCATAAAAATAAGTGGATGGAAACATTGCTACTGTCAATTATGTTTGTTTGCTTTTTTTATTTATTTATTTTTAATTGGCCTTTTGCTTTTTTTATTATTAGATAGGGCAGAGGAGAACTGACAGGGACTGAGGGAGGAGTCAGAATTATTTTATGTTGTAATAGACTGCATGCCACTGATGCTTTGCATAAGGCTTAACATGTTTTGAACCCTAAACAATTTATTTTCGTAACCTTTCTTGGTTTGGTGTCCGCTGGTGAGAAGATGGACTTGTTCTTATTTAAAGGTGAAATGTGTAATTTCTGCTCTAGTGGCACCAAACAGAATTGCATACCTATTTCTTTTTTTAAACCGTTGGTCAGTTTACACAATTTCCACTCCAAACTCATGCAGTTGGGTTTATTGTGTTCTTCTGGTCGGGATGCTCAAAAAGTAGAGAATGTTGGTAAATATTGTTGTTCTGTGGCACTCTTTTGGAGAGAATCAACCTACAAATACAGTTTAACATATGAGCTTAGCTTAACATATTTATGCAGTTTAAAATCCATTCTGTAGAATTTCTACAGAATGAATCTCTTTTAGTCTAAAATGAGCTGTGAAAATCATCAGATTCTGTGTGGGCCTATTATTTAAAAAAAAAGTGCTCTTTTAAATAAAGGATGTTTTAAAAGTAGTACAAATACAATAATAAAAATAAATAAAAAACTTTTAAAGTCCTCTGGCCATTTTCATCTTTAGTTCTGTAGTGAGAGGATGTCGTAAAATACTAAATTAAACACTTCCGTTGACTTGGATGAGGTTTGTTCCTCGCACATCCTGTGTGTGCTCCACCAAATGGCTATGCCCTGTGCCAGCAGACCTGGAGATGAACTGACAGGAGCAGAACTGGTCCTTTCACATTAGAGCCGGAAATTTTCTCCGGCTCTACTAATCTAAATCTAAATGTAGGATGTGCTATAGGTAATTTTTCAAATAAGCATAATGAACACTGCTTCTTTTAGCTTGCAAATGTTAATGTCTTTTTTGCATATCATTTGTCTGCAGCCTATGGCATTAAATGGAGCTGACCGACTGGCCAATGCCAGCAGTTTGAGACCTGATGGTTTTGACGCTCTATTCGTTTGATTACTATCTGTTCTGTTAACCCATATGCATAGTGTTATGCCAGCGCTTTAACCAACCAGATCTGATTTCATTGGTTTCTACTCCGTTCTGGGAGCTGGTAAAAGCTACTTGAAAAGGTGACTTATTTGTAGATTTACATATACTTACATGCCTGTTATAGAGAACCCATATTGAAAGCTGGTTCAAATGTGCAGTGTTCTGTCAGGTTTGGCATTTGATGCCAAAAGGAAGAACTGAGATTTATAGAGTTATCAAAAAGCATTAAACAAATAAATAAAGATTAGATAAATCTTGGTGAGTCCATGAGATGTATTCTTTTTAGATCGTGTTGTATGTACAGGGGTTGGACAATGAGACTGAAACACTGGCCTATATATTGTTGGAGGTTTCACACCTATGCGCGGCCTGGTTGTCAATCTTCACTGATTTTACATTCCATCAGTAAGAGCACAGAGTGTGAAGGTTGAATTAACAGAGCAATAGCACAGCTGTACATATTGCAAAAATCCACACAATATAATGGGAGACATATCAAAATTCAAAAGAGGACAAATGGTTGGTGCGTGTCTCTCTGGCTCATCTGTGACCAGGTGTGTCAAAAGCTGTGGTATCCAGGGTAATGTCGGCATACCACCATGAAGGACGAAC